ATGTGAGGTTGACAAAAAAAAATTTATATTATATTTAATGGTTATTTAAAATTACAAATTAATGTAGATTTTCAATAAAATTGTTGTTTTAACAAATTCAAATCTATAATATATATATATATATATATATATATAATACTAATATATAAGTAACTTTGGGGACACGTGTCACGTTTCTGTGCGACGGTTGTTGATTTTTCCCGCCTAAAACACAATTTTCACTTACGGCCCCCAGACTTACAACATAACTCTGGAAAAATTTACGTCTGAATTTAATTTTGGAGTGGTCACCAAAACAAGGGCTCTGCCCCTTGGATCCCGCCAGGGGCTGCCGCCCCTTGGACCCCACTACCTGGGGGCGTTGCCCCTGGACCCCTTCTGTTAGGGGTTTCGTCCCTAAATCAAAATAAACTCAAACAAGTGTGCACTCCGCACTTGCCTTACATGTTTAATATTTATCATGATTACATTGGTCAACAATTTAATCACATTACAGTTAAATGACATTAGTGATACAAATCATCAACATGAAGTTATCAGATATTGGTTATTTCACAAACTTACAACATAACTCTGAATTGTTTTGTTCCAAACTTAGTTATATAGTTTATTCTCAGACTTAGAATAAAACTCTAAACTCCTCTTCAGAGTTACGTTTCTGAGTTATAAGAAATCAAAATTCTTGTGACTCAGAGTTATGTTCGTAGATACTTTCTAGACTTAGAAGACAACTCTGAATTCCTCTTATTCAGAGTTAACTCCAGAGTTATTTTTCAGTCTAACAATAGAATTCCGAATTCTTGTGTCATTAACCTGTGTAATACGCTGGTCCAAACATAGTATATATATATATATATATATATATATATATATATATATATATATGTGTGTGTGTGTGTGTGTGTGTGAGTGTGTGTATAGGAAAAATTGCATCAAAATGGAACCAACTTTCACCTGATTCTTATTTTGGGGAACCAACTTTCAAAATCGTCATTTTGGGAAACCAACTTGCAAAATAATTATAGGAAAATAACTAAAATTCGTTTTTTTTTTTCAAAAATTAATGCAATAAAATCCATTTTTCATTTCAAATCTCGTTTTTTTAAAATTCAAATATCAAATTGAAGATTTTTTTAAAAAAAATACAAATTACCACCATAAAGATTGTTTTTTACCAATGCAATAAAAAAAATCAATTTAATAGAAAAAAATTAATTGATGCAATAAAAAATAAATATTAAATATCACATTCAAGATTTTTATCTTTAACCAATTCGTATCAATGTTAAAGTTTAAACCAAAAGTTTGATAGAGACCCTTAAATTACCTGTTACATGTTCAACAGATCAACCAGACCCTTAAATAAACAAAAAGTTTGATAGAGACCCATAAATGACGATTTTGAAAGAGGTTTCCCAAAATAAGAATCAGGTGAAAGTTGGTTATATTTTGGTGCAATTTTCCCTTTTTGAAAAAAATGAATTTTAGTTATTTTTCTATAATTATTTTGCAAGTTGGTTCCCTAAAATAAGAATCAGGTGCAAGTTGGTACTCCAAAATAACGATTTTGTAAGTTGGTTCCCAAAATAGGAATCAGGTGCAAGTTGGTTTTCTAAAATGACGATTTTGAAAGTTGGTTCCCCAAAATAAGAATCAGGTGAAAGTTGGTTCCAATTTGATGCAATTTTCCCATATGTATAACAATAATAATGATCATCATATCATCAATTTGAATTTCTTTTACTTAACATATTAAATTAGGGATTTATTTTAGTTGTATCAAGAAATGTTTTTTTTTGAAGTATATAATAATTATATAAGGTAAATAGAATAAATAAATTCACACACCCTCCTCACCTATGGTGAGGTTTGAACCACTAATCTTTTAGAAGGTCAAAGACTCACGTAATGCTAGATCAAAGACCCTTTGGTTATATCATGAAATGTTCTAAGTGACAATTTTTTTAAAGTGACAATTTTTTTAAAATGACATTTTTATTATTTTATATTTTTATCAAATTTATCGTTAGTTTTTGTCAAATATGGTTTATTTATCAATTACTTTTTCAGCTAACGTTTAACTTATGTAATTTGTCAAACGTAACATTAAAAAAAGAATACATAAACCTCATTGGTAAAAACAATTAAAATAATTTTTTTTCTCTTCTCATTATGAGTTTTAAAGATTATCTTTATTTTCTTTTCTCTGTCTTAGAGAAATACTAGAAGGGTATTCGTGCAATGCAACGAGATAAATCTTAATTTTATTATTTCATTTTATTCTATATCGATATTAGTATCAAATTAACTATTTAAAATTCATATTTTTGTGTAATTTTTTAATTTAATTTTCTTTATTATAATTTAATTTAGGGTCAATAACGAACTAATTTATATTTGGTTTAACAATATAATTTTATTATAAAGATAATAATTAAATATTTTGTTAGAACTTGATAATTATCCTAAATATATTTTTATATTTTTTATATTTTAAAATGTGATGTTTATTCTCTATTTTATTATGTTTGTCCGCAGTTAGTTACACGAATTCAAACATGGAGCTTTAATAAATTGTACTTATGCATAATTTACTTGTAATCTTGAATTGTAAGTAATATGCATCAATAAATAGTACCTCATGCATAAAAAATGGGTTTTAAGTGTTTTTGTCAAATGCTTTATAATATAATATAGATTTAAAGAATTTGTTGAAACACAAATATAAATAAATCTCTATTTTCTCTTTTTACAAGGTTGTTCCCAGGAGGCTCATGGATTTGGGTTGAAAGTATTTAAATAACCTAATCCAATACTTACGATTTGAAAAATTCAACTCAATCCAAATCGTAGAGCTTGATCGAGTTAATATTTTGATACATTAAAATTTTCTCCTAATTGATTGATGTAACTAAATCTTACACTAAAAACTAAATTTGGTGTAAATGACATTATATGCATCTCCAATGGGGTCTCTATTTTTCATACTAAATTTATTGTAAGGAATACTATTACACAAATTTGGTGCAAGACCACACACTTACATTACTTTTTACATCACTCATATTTTTGGTCCCTTAATTTTGAGATTTATTATTTTTCTCCTTTAAAGTGTTAAAGTTTTAATAGGTTTTATTTGTTATATATATAGGGGCCTATTCATTAGAGAACTGATTAGTTTGTGCTAACTGTGAGATCCAATCTCAACCACAAATCAACGGATAAATTATGAAATTAATAATTATGGTAGTTTGAGTTAAAATTATAATTAGATGACATTTTAAGTATTTTTAAAAAACTTCTCTCTCCTCTATCATCTCTCACCTCTCCGACCTCCAATCTCCGGCCTCGGTGAACAAAAATCCGGCAGGTACCAAGTAATCACAAAGATACACAATGTGATACCCATTGTGATATAATGTGATACCATTTGAGTAACAATGTATATCACAATTAGGATTTGGTGTAAAAATAGTCTTACCCATTGGAGAAGATTTACTCTTAACACTAAAATTTAAGCTACTTTTGGAATTTGGTGTAAAATCTAGTGTGACCCATCGGAGATGTTTTAACCTTAATTAAATAAATGTTGTTTTCTCTAGTCTACTAAGACTATAGATCGGCCAAATAAGTGATGAATAAAACAAGATATAAATGTTCACATTATTCAAATATATCATTTGTGAACACTCTTTATTAAGGTTTTTTACATGGTGTTGCCACAAAATGTTCATCTTATGTGCACGATGTGTATGTTAATACGGAAATGAGAGAGAGAGATATAAGTACGAATATTTCCTTAAAATGCATTATCTCATTAATGAATAACATTAATTATCTTAAATATGTGGTTTATGATAGATTTCACGGATCTCACATATTTTAGAGTTCTCAAAAGATTAAGCTCATATATACACACACACATATGAAGGATCGTGTGAGAATAAAAATTACGGAAAGAAGCGTAAAAAAAGATATGGACTCTTGATCACTTTTTATCTCACCCCCACGCCATATATATGAATTGTGCTTGGTACGAGAATTGATCTGGTTCATCTCATTATTAATGATCTTTAATTAGGATTAATCTAATTACGAAAATCATTTCTTACCTTCTCACGATAACTTGCATTTTCAGTAAAACCCAACCATATATAAGCAAAATCTCCAAAAATCACAAAATCTTAGAGCATCATTCTTGATAGGAGTTATTTGATTTTTTTTGAATTTAAAATTATTTATTAAATTAATGATGTTTGCGGTTCCTGTATAAAATCCAATTTAAAAAATTGGGAATAACCCCCAAACTATCCAACTTCCTTGCATTTCCATTTACTTTCTTCATTCAATCTATGTTAAATATCCAAGTCGATAAGGATAGTGTGGAGGTTTTATTTTCACTTGGCCCCCACAACAGGGTATATTTGAGGGTCTTTTTTTCCGACCAAAATTTCAAAAAAAACTATTGAAATTGCTTATGTTGAGTTATTAGTATGTGATTGATAATTTTATTTACTTGTAAGTAATGAAATCTTGAAGAATAGGTTAGCTACCAAAACAAGTGTCAAAAATGGATAAACGTTCCATTTGCGACAAATTAAATTTTTCTTTTTAAAATAAAATTAGACATCCTCACTAATTGGTTCGTATTCTGAAATAAATATTAGTGTTTATAAAATAAAATACACAGATGAAAAGAAAAGAAAAAAAGTATATATCAAACTTATCACAAAATAAATAAATATTATGTATACAACTACAACTACAACTACAACTACAACTACAACTACTTATATTTGAGTTTGTTATGTTTCATTTTTTTTAAAAACGTATTCAGCTTTTTCTATATGAAATTGATTTTGATAAATAAATCTTGTTGACTGTGAGATGACATATTAGGCCATCCAGTACTATAACTAAACCATGTTTATTTCTTTTCCAAATACATCAAGATATTTATTCATTTTTAGAAATATCACAACTCCATCTCGTCTGCAATTCCATGCCATTCTCTCTCTCTCTCTCTCTCTCTCTCTATATATATATATAGAAAGAGAGAGAGAGAGAAAAGAAAAAGAAGAAGAAAGAGACAGTTGATTGAGCGAGTGGTGTGTGTATATATATGCTATGCATAGGCAGTCATAAGCATGTCAGTTTCATTCTACTTGTGCTCCCGCCATACTCTCTGTTGCATTTTCTTGCTCTTCCACCATGCCAAAGGTACTCTTCCACATTCTCTCTTCTTTGCATCCTTAACCTTCATATCTAGTTTTCATCGATTCTCTTAGTGTTATCATACAAGTTTTTATGCATTTAGCTCCTTAATCCATCCATCTCCCCATTTCTGTTATCATCGCACGCCTTTTTCCTTAACAATTTATCTGCCGCAAAATACTTACGTTCCGTCGGAAACATGAATCACCGATCTGCTTTATCTTCTACGACTTTATTTAACTTATGCATTTTGTTGGAACTTGAACATGGAAGAACAAGCGACGGGATAATACCGAAGAACAAAATCACGACGGAAATAGCAACGATGAAGACTCTAATGACTCAAAAACAACAACTAACAAGCAAAGTAAAGGAGCGATAGTGTTGGGAGTTTACCTTCATTGTCAAGGTTGTGTTGAAACCGTCGTCAAATCACTCAGAGGATTCGACGGTAATCTAATTTATCATTATTCTAATCATCAATGCAGTTTATCATTCTCATGATTTAGTTTGTAAATATTATTGAATGATGTTTTGATAAGGTGTTGAAGAAATAGAACCTAATACAAGAGATCATCGGGTGATTGTGAAAGGTAACAACGCCGACCCTATCAGAGTCGCAGAACGCGTCAGGAACAAGTTAGGCAAGCATGTGGAGCTTATTTCTCCTCTACCCAGGAAACAACCAGAGAAGAAAGTAGAGAAGAAACCAGAGGTAATTTCAATTGTCAACACAAAGGAACAAAAATTAAATGCCTGTAGATATGATTGATCGATATATGTATGGTAATTATAACTTGTTTC